AAGGGGGGGGGGTTGCTTATAGTAACAGGGAGGTTATCAAGTAGGGGAAGCACAGTGGTCAAGTCTAGAGGTAAGTATTTCCAGAGTGCATGTAGAGCATCATATAGGTGGTAGCACAAGCCTTTTGAATCAGCAGCTCCACCCACAGGAGGCTGATCTTTTCTGTGATTATGCAGGGAGAAAATTTGAGGTTCCCCTTTGTCTTTGTCCATTCCAGAATACAATCTTGCCTTTATTTTTGCCAAACCAAAAGTCTCATTGAAGTGTTTTTCCCCACACAAAAAAAGATCAATCTATCCTCAAAGGTAGATTCTGCCTCTACTTCTTCAGAAACAGAAAAGCTGCTGGAAGCTTTAGAATAGCAATTTATCCTCACTTCCAGTCATAAAGGTTTCAGAAGGTTGGGGTTCAGTTTGGTAGTGCCAGTCAAATGTTTTTGTGTGCATATAATTTGACCCTGCAGTTTTACTTTGAGAAATCTATTCTATAGAAATGCTCAAATATACAGTGCAGCGTTGGGGGTAATATTAAAAATTGTAAACAATTTATGGGCACCTGGGTGGCTCAGGTCATGGATCCCAGGGTCATGGGATCAAGCCCCATGTTGGGCTCTGCACTCAGTATGGAGCCTGCTTAAGATTCTCTCTCTCTCCCTCTGCCTCTCTCCTCTCCTGATGCATGCTTACACACGTACACGCTCTCTCAAATAAAAAATAAAAATAAATGTAAAAAATTGTAAACAATTTAAATGCACATCAGTTGAGATATGACTGAATAAATTATGCTCTATCTATAATATGAAATACTCTGCACTATTAAAAAGAATGAGATATATCTCTATGTAGTGACATTGATGGGTTTCCATGACTTATTAGAGGATGAAAAAAAGTTGATTTATGGGAATCTGTATGAGTTGTGAATATATGTATATAAATAATATATACAGGGAAGTAAGTTGAGAAGGATACATGCTAGAAATACTAACTGGTTACTTTTGGGTAGTGGGGTGGGGTAGTGATACAGGAATGTCTAAAGGAAAAAGTTAAAGATTCTTAAAAATCATGTGCTACTATTATAAAAAAGTGTAAAACTCATCAGCTTTCTTTGCAGGCACGTTGGACAGAGGCCTCTAGCACTTTCCTTTCCCGTGGGATTTGCAATTGTATTGCCAATTTTTTTGAGAATTTTCCAGCCCTCTTGCCCTATCTTCCTTTTCATACACAGTGCAGGATAGCTACCTTATCTTTTCCCTAAACTAACAAAATAAAACTCAATTTTGTAAGCCAAGACCAGCAGTTTCAAACTTTACTGGACATCAAAATCACCTTGATGTTTGGTGAAAATGCAGATTCATGGGCCTGCTGAATAGATTCTGAGTCAGTGTGTCTGGGGTTGTATCCAAAATCCTGATCTTTCAGAGGCATCCCAGGTGGTCAGTGAGAAACCCTGTTTCAGGGAATGACGTCTGATTGTGCCCCCACCCCCTCATTTCTCTCTCCATGATTAGCAAAGGGAACGAGGGAGTGATGACTCACTGTGGATATCTTTGTGGGTCACAAATGGTTGGGTTCATCTGGGAAAAATGAATAAAACACAGTTTAGTAGACTTGAGAGTTAAGTAATAAGTGTTGGTTCTTTAAAGTAGCCTATTTGAAGTGGGGACCTTTGGGTTGGAGGCTGGTCTGGTGGGCAGTGACTAGGCAGTGACTTCAGCCTAGGAGATGCCTTCCAGCAATGGCTTCATTAGTTATAAGTGGAAGAAGGGGAGGAGGGACCTTGACAAACTGTGAGGTTTCAGAATTCAGATGTTTTTTAAGTGGAGCTTTTGTCCTTGGAAAATGATGCTTCTAATATTAAGATGAGGTACTATCTTAAGACTATTCTAAATGGTTTTTTTTTGGTTAGAATTATTTTTTTCTTTGTTAGACACAAAGTCTGTTAATCAGATGCCCACTGTGGGTTATTAACATCACAAAAGGGTGTTTAAAAACCATACACCCCAATTGCTCCCCCCAGTTAACCTTGGGAATAAAAGTAAATGGGAGTACTTCTTAACTACCTTCCCAAGCCCTCAGTGAAACTGGCAGCCATCAGTTAAATAAACCATTAGGTTTATTAGTTTGAGAACAGAAGCATCGACTTGGGCACAGTTTTCTAATTTGCTCCTCATTTACCCAACAATCATTTATTCAGAGGCTACTTTGTGCTTGGTGGACATTAGGCAATTCTACAAATAAAAGCCAGAGACTGATGGGTAGGCTGGAAGTCTAAGGGTTCACCTGAATGGGAAAAAAATGAATAAAACACAATTTAATAGACTTGAAAGCTTAGTAGCACATAGAAAACAGAAAGTGGATCCCTTAAAGCAACAGCCTTGTTCTCTTTCTGTAGTCTATTTTAAGTGGGCCCTCTGGCCCAGCATTATCAACCACCTATTAGGAGCTCTGAGGAAATAGTGGTTTGGTGGCTGTTTTTTAAAGGATTTTTATTTATTTTTTTTATTTTTTTAAATTTTTTTTTCAACGTTTATTTATTTTTGGGACAGAGAGAGACAGAGCATGAACGGGGGAGGGGCAGAGAGAGAGGGAGACACAGAATCGGAAACAGGCTCCAGGCTCTGAGCCATCAGCCCAGAGCCCGACGCGGGGCTCGAACTCACGGACCGCGAGATCGTGACCTGGCTGAAGTCGGACGCCTAACCGACTGCGCCACCCAGGCGCCCCTAAAGGATTTTTAAAGAAACGTAGTTACTAAGCAACTGCAATGACCTGCTACTAAGTTGGAGTTCAGCAGGCAAGTCAATTCCAAAGAAGGGAATACATAAACAAGTTGTGAGATGGGGGAAGAATGGCTTACAGATAGATTTGGTATATATTTTTGGGGTGCTTGGGTGGCTCAGTTGGTTAAGCGTCCGACTTCAGCTCAGGTCATGATCTCATGGTTCATGAGTTCGAGCCCTGCATCAGGCTCTGTGCTGACAGGTCAGAGCCTGGAGCCAGCTCTGGATTCTATGTCTCCCCCTCTCTCTCTGCCCCTCCCCTGCTTGTGTGCTCTCTCGCTCTCAAAAATAAATAAACATTAAAAAAAGATTTGTTATCTATTTTTTCTGGGTTCAATTCATATTTCTGCCTTCTACTTTATCTTCCCCAAGAAAGAGCTGCCTGGTCAGAAATCTCTTTGTCTCACCAAGTACTCCTCCTAGCGGGTGAGGAGAACTGAGTGAGGAGGACGACCAGAAAGGAGCCAACTAGAGGGCCAGGGTGGAGGGCTGAGCTCTGGAGTAGGGCCAGTTCCCCAGGCAGGCAGACAGGTAGACGGCCCTGCTGCTGCACTCTTGGGCAGTCCAGGGTTTCTATGACAGATTGGTCACCACCCTCTGCATTTAGATTGCGACGCCTCATTGATATTGATGTGTTGCCTTGTAACCCTCAGATCGGGGACATTGTCCAGCTGCTGTCTTTTTCCCCCAACACTTAATGGGTGAGTCAGTGACTTAACTGCTTCCTGCAGGATTTCAGGGACTGGAGTAGGTAATGAGGACAAATCACCATTAACACCAGTGTGTGATGAATGAAGAAATGGCTAAATGGCATGGATTTAGCCGGTTGGCTTCATTGGTACCAGAGTGAACAAAAAGAAACTTTGTTGAGGATCTGTGTGAATTAGAACTCCTTCCATCCCCTTAAGGCTTTTTAGCATTTCCCTTTATAGCCGGCTGAAGGTCAGGTTGCTTTGCTGAGGGAAGGGGAGTGTCAGGTGTTGGAACAGGTGTTTTGTTTTCTGCCTGTAGAGTCATACAGACTAGATGGGGATGCTTCTTGCCAGCCCTCTATGGTGCATGAAAATGCTTTTGTGGAATTCTTTTTCCCTGGAAATATGTTTGGTTTTTTAAAACAGTTCCACAACCTTCAACCCCAACTATCAGTTCTGTTTTCCTTTGAAATCATCTTGTCATAATGAGGTATGCCTATTTTCTACCATTTTCACAGCCTGTGCTTTAGATATATCCCATTTTATGCAGCCAGTACAGACCTGAAAAATACTGTGTATGTGTTGGGTAGGGGGAATAAAAAGGCGAATATCATATTTTAAATGTACTAGGAGAATGTCACAGCAAAGCATCCCTATAAAAAAGCCTCTTAAAATAATTGTACGGTTAGGGAGCTTTCCTCCATCAGGTTTTCTTAAGTTCGGTGTAAATCTGTAGTTGCCTTTCCAGAGTGATAAGGCTGTTTCGAGGCTGTTGTGATGGTATTAGTGGGCTATAAAGCTGGGCATATGGACTTACAACCTCACGGACTAGATGATTTTGGAGGAGAGAGGTGACAGCAGATTTCTTGGTTTGGGAGAATTTCTGTTTTAATGTTTGTTACTGAAACCAAAGACCCTGTTTGTTAAAAGGGAAGATTTTCTTATCTGATTGTGAGGTTTGTTTGTTTTTACCTTTGTGTCATGAGTTCAATCTCCACCCCCCCCCCCCAACCTCCAAAAACAAAGTCATCTGGAAACCAGTCATCTCTCTTGCCTAACAATGATCTAATGGCCTCAGGTCCTTCCCAGCCCCTCCACCCTGTGTCTCAGGGCCATCTGTTCTCTGCAATCCACTTTTTGGGAAAGTCTCCTTTCCCATCTGTTCTCCTTGGGCCTTAGCCGCCTGCTCCAAAGATTTATGAAGGCTGCACTGGAGCGCTTTCCAGTTGTTGTGTGTTGTTGGTTTTTTTTTTAATGATACATGAGATTTCAAGGCAGATAAAAGCTTTTTCCATTTGATATGTACAAATGTTATTCCTTTTTCAGGTGTGTTTTTTCTTTCTCTTAGTTGGGAGCTGGAAAGAAGTCTGTGCTTGGAGGAAGGACTCTACTTATCAAAGCAGAGACTGTGTTGGCTCTGGCTGCTTTGAAGTCAAGTGTCCTCCTGGCTCTTTAGCCACTGGCACACAGGCTTGGTGCGGTTTCTTGGGTTCATTCTTTTCCTGTCTGTTCCCTTGTCTCCCTGACAGAGTACAGTCGCTTTGAATCGAAGATACATGACTTGCGAGAACAAATGATGAACAGCAGCATGAGCTCTGGGTCTGGGTCCCTCCGAACAAGTGAGAAGAGGTCTTTGTATGTCAGGTAAGTCACACTTCTGAGCACCAGGCCTTGTGCTGCACGAGGGGAGCTCTGTGCCAACACAGCCCTTCCTGTTTAACTAGTGGGGTAGAGAGTGTGTACTTCCAGTACTAAAGCAACATTGTGTACTGTATGCTCAGGTTGTGTACTTTATGGTCAGTGTTTCTCCCTTTTTCAAGCTGGCTTCTTCCTCTTTGCTCATGAATGACTCAGTATGAGAAACTTTCAGTTTGTTCTAATTGTAAAAGACTATTGAGTGATTATTGCTAGTCAGTATTCAAATAGCACTCAAATGTTCAGAGTCCTTTGCTTGCATTCTGTGATTTGAGGAGAAAGCTTGGCATTCCCTCCCTTCCACATATGCATAGTAGACATCAGGATTTGTATCTGAGCATATCAGCTATCACTCTATTCTGGTCGAAGGTCTTTTACAGGAGACCAAAAACTGACAGGTTGCTGCTTCTGGGTCTTTTTTTAATGTCTTTATTTTTGAGAGAGAGAGAGAGAGAGAGAGAGAGAGAGAGAGAGAGAGAGAATATGAATCTGAAGCAGGCTCCAGGCTCTGAGCTGTCAGCACAGAGCCTGACATGGGGCTCAAAATCACAAACCACGAGATCATGACCTGAGATGAGGTCAGACACTTAACCGACTGAGCCACCCAGGTGCCCAGGGTCTTTTTTTTTTTAATGGTGTTTTCTTGCTCCCTGCTGTGCTGGTCTGCTGTATCTGAATCATGGGACATGGGATGCGATGGTGTATGGTTCCCAGGAAGGGTGGGTAGAGGGAATGGATATATAGCATTGAGTGTATTGCTGCTGAAAGCTATTCTGAGATACTGCCCAAGGTTGAGCTTTTGACCCTTGAGGCCCATTATGATACTTTGTCAGGTCAAAGTACAAACCTCTTGGGGAGTTGGACTGCTAAATGAACACTATGGACTCCTTGTTAGAATTAGGGATAGTTTTCTTCTTCCTGTCCAAGCTTCTTGGCAAAACTCCAAACAGTGTGGTGCAAGTACATATTGTATCTCTCCAAGGTTAAAATCCTTAGAGTAAGAGGTGGTGGGATTACTCCCCTGAGCCAGAGATAGTCGTGTGTGTGTGTGTGTGTGTGTGTGTGTGTGTGTGTGTGTGTGTGTGTTTAATGCTTAGGTGTGGACTTGTATTAAACTCTTGGGTTGAACTTTTCTGGTGGCCTCTGATACATGCTGGGGGAGGTTAGGAAGGAAGGCTACATTTGCTGATTGCCTGCAAGTGGGACAACTGGTCTGTCTTTGGGGTTTGACTCGATGCTAGCCAGTGGATATAAACGCTAATTGCAGTTCTTGTCATGGTGCTTGATTTTCTTTTCCCTCAGTTGGTAGTCCCTGACACTACTGCAGGGAGCCGAGCCAAGGGAGCCCAGCTTTGAGTCTGAAGCCCACTAGAACCCTTCATGGTTCTTTTTAAAAAATGAACCCTCAACTTGACTGGTTGTTTGTTGAGAGCAGCTTTCTTCACATTTGCCGTGCTCACCTCCTGCTGTGAAGGGAGGAGAGCTGGAGGAAGGCTGGGCTAGTCACTGATGATCTTTTCAGTCTTCTGTTTTTTGTCACTAAGCCCCTGCTCTGGGTCTGCAGCCTAGATGCTGGGGCACTGATGGGGGAATCAGAAATGTGATATTGCCCCCAGCAAGAGGGTAATACTTATGTGACTTGGTCAGGATTGTTCCGTTCCCGTGCTGCCAGCCCCCGCAGATGTGGCACTCCAGGGTGCGTGGGAAGCTGCTCTTTAGGCAAGACAGTTTCTTCAGAGAGCTTTATTTTTAGATTTCCTCTCTCCACCTATCCTGTGCTAGAGCTCTCCCTGCCTGGGTAGGGGGATTGGGGCATTAGCTCCTGACCTGGAAGACCTAAAAGACTTAGAACAGCCTTCTCTGACCTGGGGAAGGGATACATCATGTCTAACTCTGGGGAGGAGGGTGGAGACTGCACTCTGTTTCTAGCAAATCCGTTTGTACAGTTTATATCATCTGCCCCTAACCTTATCTAGATAACATCAGTGTCCTCTGAGGAGAGTAAGTACTGTTTAGAACAATGAACATTTGTGATCACTAGAATTAATCAAGGGAAATGATATTTTATGGCCAAAGCAGTGAGCAGAGGTCTTTCGCTAAGCTAACCTCTCTACCAGAGCCTGGCTTGCTCTGTGCCGTTTCATGCCTGTTTGGCCTTCCATGCTGTACTTCGTCCCTATTGTTCAGTATGTATTCAAGTTTCTTCCATTCTTAAAAAGAAAAGAAAAACATTCCCTTGATACTAGTAGTCCCTTAAACTGTTATCTCTCTTCTGCTTACCACATTTGCTGAATTATGTGCCAAGAAACACTAGTTCCACAAGATGTTAAGTATTGTGTGCAAAATCAGTGGTTCAGTAAGTTGGGCCAATGCCATGTGAAAAGAGTAAAACAGAGTCTTTTACTGTGATTCATCTCCAGGAGGGTCTGCACTAAGCAGTGTTTCGCCAAAGGATAGGAGCATGGGAGCCTTATTTGGAGAAGTCCATCTTAAATCCATGTTGGGAAATGTTGGAGTCCTCTGTACCTATTCCTGCTATGTCTTCAAATCACCTCTCTTTCGGTAGGAAAGGAAGTGTGCATCTGCTTTTCAGCATGGTGGTGTGGTTCCAAGCAAGTCCGGAAGGCTCCGGAGGAGCAGAAGCTCAACTCCGTCAGGGATCCACGGTGACCTCTTAGTCATCACATTCAATGACTGGTTCACTGATTCTCTGCCATTGGTGTGACCTCTTCACCACATTTGTTCCCACAAATTACCTACTTGCTTCTTTAAAGGCTCTCTTTCTGTCTTGCTAACCATTCCTCAGTACCTTTCATTAGCTCTGCCCCCTAAATGGCAATGTCATTTATTTTCACAGCTTCAGATCCTGTTGTTGTATAAATGACATCCCTGATCTTTTTAGTGAACTCCAGGCCTGCATATCAACTACTTGCTGGGCATGTGCATGAAGCTGCGCTCCCACAGTGTCTCAAACAAGCAGTGTGTTCAAAATTGAACCCCCCTCCACACCTACTGCTCCTCAATTTCCTTATCTAAGTTAATTGCATCACCCTGTCATGTGGAAAAGGGATTAGATTTGTTCTGTCACCCAAGGCAGATCTCAGCTCAACAGAAGGAAGAAGAGCTAATGATTAAAACTGTCTGAAAATGGAATGGACTGCTTCCAGGGATAGTAAATTTGATCTTTTGTTGCTGAAGGTGTTACAGAAGAGGCTGGGCACCCATTTCACTGGTTGTTGCAGAGGGGGTCAAAGCTAAAAGCAACAATCTGGACATAAGCTACTCAGAAGCTTTCACTAGTTCCCTAGTGTCTTTAGGATGAAGGCAAACTAACATTTAGGGAACATCTGTGCATTCAGGCCTTTGTTATTCTCTTTAAATTGGGATTAAATCCTTTAAATAATGCTACAAAGTACACATTGTTCTCATTTTACAGGTGTGAAAACTGAGACTCCAGTTATATAGCCAAGAAGTTCCAAAACTGGAATTTGAACCTGGTTGTTCTGACCACAGAGTGTGGCTTTTTTCAGCATTTCCCAAACTTGGTGATAGGAATCTGCTGGCATGCTAATAAAAATACAGATACCTAGTCCCCCTCTTTTATACACTTGGATTCACTGGATTTGGGAAATGTATGGGTTTTGGGGGGTTTTTTAGTACTCGAAAGTTATATACATGTATTTTTAAATATAAGTTATTGTCAAATTGGCTAACATACAGTATATATAGTGCACTCTGGGGGGTTTTGGGGGTAGAGTCCCGTGGTTTATCGCTGACGTACTACAGTGCTCACTCACCTGGTCATATGCTGTCTCTCCCTAGTAAAACAAACATTTAAAAAAACCATTTTTAAATTTTTTAAATGTTTATTTTACGAGAGAGAGAGAAAGAGCGAGAGTGAGTGCACATGAGCAGGTGAGGGGCAGAGAGGGAGAATCCCAGGCAAGCTCTGTGCTGTCAGCACAGAGCCCTGACGCAGGGCTCCATCTCATGACTGTGAGATCACAACCTGAGCCAAAATCAAGAGTCGGATGCTTAACCAACTGATCCACCCAGGCGCCCTGGGAAATGTATGTTTTTAATTTTTTTAAATGTTTACTTTTTGAGAGAGAGAGAAGGAGAGAGAGAGATTGATTGATCAAGGGAGGAGCAGAGAGAGAAGGAGACACAGAGTCTGAAGAAGGCTCCAGGCTGTGAGCTGTCAGCACAGAGCCTGATGTGGGGCTCCATCTCACGAACTGTGAGATCATGACCTGAGCCAAAGTCAGGTGCTTAGCCAACTGAGCCACCCTGGCACCCAAATGTATGTTTTTAACGTTTTTTTTTATTTATTTATTTTTGAGACAGAGAGAGAGCATGAACGGGGCAGGGGCAGAGAGAGAGGG